TACTACTAGTTGTCAAAGAAAATAGACAGTATATTACTACTATCTGTCAAATAGCATATAATCACTATTTGTTTTTCCAACCAGAATATTATTTTGTAAATCCACAGAAAATAATTTTCTTAAACGAAGAAAGAGAAAAGGAAACAAACAAAAAAGTCTGTAAACAGAATAAGTCGAATCTGTCTTAAGATTGTTGGAACAATCTTCTGTGTAAGTAAAATAAATAGAAACTAATTCAAACAAAATAAAATAAAACTTACAGAATTTATTTTGTAGAACCAAATAAATAATTAAAGACCAAGTCGAGTGTGTGACACTCTATCCTTAAGACAGATTCACCCCGCTACGGTGCTTACGGTTATGTAGCGTCTATCTCCCAGGATACAATGATCTTCACAAATTTGTAGTAGCACTTCAAACAAATTTGTTCGGCGAACTAGAACCTTGTGTTCTATAACTCTCTGAATTTTATTCTAAATCTAATATGAAGAATAAAGGATGCAAGAGAGCAAAATGAAGGCAAGAAAAATGAATTTTCGGAATATCAAAATTGGAATGGGGTTGCCTTTATCTAGACTTTGTTGGCACCTATTCAATTTGAATAGAAAAGGTATGAAGAAGGGACATAACCCTTCCTTTAAAATAAAGAGACACCATGAAAGGTTTGCACCCTTTCATTCAAATGGAGGTTTGACCCTTCCTTTAAAACAAAAAGACACCATGAAAGGTTACAGCCTTTCATTCAAAATGGAGTCTATTTCAATTCACAACTACCTCTTTATAAATTTTCCAACAATAACACGATATGTATAAGTAAGTCATAACCTAGTTATAACTAATATCATAATATGTTATTATAAAAAACTACAAAGATCATACCTGGGACATATGATATATACCCCAAAAAAATTTCCATATATTATTGTCCATTTTTGTCTATAATAAAACCTATGATTAAGAAGTTTTCAGCCCCAATATAGTCACGTCTGCAAAAATGATTGGCCATCCATCTTTATATTCATATACAAATAACTGATTGTGTTAGCCAAATAGACATACATACAAATTCTAATTTAAATATCAAGAGGAAAGTAAGAAATTTAAGTAGTAAATTATATCAATTATGTTATGACCCGCATTTCATATATAAATTTAGTAAATACAGAGAAGAAAAAAAAAATTGCGGATGAAGAATGAGCTAGTGAAGGTTTTAAAAAAGAAAAATGCTTGGTGGCTTAAATTTGTGTGGCTTGAATGGCTTGAATGTGTCAAAACGACGCCGTTTTGGATGTTTCGAGCCATTCGAGCCATATTTTTTCGGGCCACCTATCATTGTTGATAAAAAGCTTGACATCTGAAAGTGCCTCCACTGGTATGGTCATTCTTCTACTTTTCATCCGGTATTGAACTTGGAAAAAGAAGAACCATTATGAAATTATTTTACCTATTAATTATTTATTTTTGACATGATCACTTTAACAAAAATGCTGGAGAAAACTGTTTATAGTAATTGTTTATCACTTATTAGGAATCTATTTCATATTTGAGCATTTGCAGTTGAAGAAGTGAGAAAATGGATTGCAAAGTTTCATCCATTCTTATTCCATGTTGCCTCTTTTAGATATGAGGTTCAATTGGTGTCTCTTTATATCAAATTTAAGGCTTTCTTTCAAAGAGATATTAAATGTTAGCAATGCCAATGTTATCTTTTACCTCTTATATTTTATGCATATTTATGTACAGGATCTACCACGAACATTCCCTGGTCACCCATGGTTGGACACTCCAGATGGTCATGCCACTCTGAGACGTGTTCTTGTGGGCTATTCTTTCCGTGATTCTGAAGTTGGTTATTGTCAGGTCATGATTCATTCTCTCTTGTCTCAACTCAATAACAAATAATAATGTACACTTTGTGTGGAAAATAATTATAAAAAATAAAAATAAAAATAAAGTGCTGCAGCCTTAAATAATTGTTTTCTGTTCTTCTCCCTTTGCACTGACTCAACTCTGTTTTTTTATTTTCATTGCCTGGTTTTCTATACATACAAATCCACATCATTTTCACTATCCATCTTGTTTTCAGTCTATTTTGAAAATCTACTAATGTCATCATTTCCCTATGCATCTCACCTAAACTTAGTTTGTGACTACATTACAAGGCATGAATGCTCTTTTATCATCTTAGAAAATGTGTCCACTTTGTCGAGTAAAGATTATTCTGGAAAACAAGGAATAATTCATTATGAATTAAGACAAACCCCATCATCTCCACCCCATAGGAACTACGAGCAATCAATTGCATAACACCTCCTGTAGTCAAGTGCATAACACCTCCAGTAGTCAAGTGCATCCTTTCTCCAGCCACTCACTTTAGTTTCTTGGGTAAGTACATTTTATATGTCTACCTTCTTGAATAACTAATTGTTTGAGGCCAAAAAAGCAAAACCTGGAGAAAGTGATTTATTCAAGGTTTCTACCTGATGGGAAAGTGTATAAAATGCCCCCTACTTTAGTAGATGATGTTAATTCTTCAATCTTAAAAATACTAATTTTATAATCTTAACCTAAATTGCTCTTGGTGCAGGGTTTAAATTATGTTGCAGCATTGTTGTTGCTTGTGATGAAAACAGAAGAAGATGCGTTTTGGATGCTAGCTGTCCTCCTGGAAAATGTCCTAGTTAGCAATTGCTATACAAATAACTTATCAGGGTGCCACGTTGAGCAAAGGGTGTTTAAAGATCTTATAGTGAAAAAGTGTCCAAGGTACTCTCTCATTCTTTCCTTGATAAGACAGCTCATGTGTTATTTTCTTTTCCGTGTCCCTTTTTCTTTTTTTTTTCTTCTTTTCAATTGGAAAAAGAAAAATGCAGGATAGCCGCTCATTTGGAAGCTTTGGATTTTGATGTATCTCTTGTTACCACTGAATGGTTCTTATGCCTCTTTTCCAAGAGCTTGCCTTCAGAGGTTGAAACAATTTTGAATGCCTCTCTCTCTCTAAATCACAATATCTTATTGTGAAGGTTTTTACTGACCTATATTTTGTACCCACAAACTCATTTTCAGACTACTTTGAGGGTGTGGGATTTACTATTTTATGAGGGAGCAAAGGTTCTGTTTCATGTAGCTTTGGCTATTTTCAAGGTGATTGTAGTCTTTGTTCAATCAAGCATCGTATGTTTCTTGAAAGTTGGATCATACATATTCATAGTTGTAAAAATTGTGGTTGGTGTGATTGCAGATGAAGGAAGAAGAGTTACTTATTGCATTTCAGGTTGGGGATGTAATTAATATATTACAGAAAACAACCCATCACCTCTTTGATCCTGATGAATTATTGACGGTAACGTAACTCTCATTTGACTCTCATGTAATTAATGTATGACTTTTGTTTCAGTTCCAATCACATTGCTCAAGGATGATAGTGTTTTGAAATTCCAATTTTTGAATTATTGTTGCTTACATTCACAAATTGAAGCCACGCGTCCTAATTAACATTTCTTGCAGGTTGCTTTTGATAAGATTGGGTCTATGACAACCACCACTATATCAAAGCAAAGGAAAAAACAGGAACCAGCTGTCATGGCAGAGCTTGATCAGAGATTAAGACGACTCAATCCTGAGAAGGTTAATGACGATTAAGCAAGTTTTTTCTTCTTTTTTTTCCATCAAAATTATTTAATTGTATTATGTTAGAGATGCTAGAAGGGGCTTGCTGCCCCTCTTAGAGAATGGGATGTTGGAAGTATGCTTTTTTGCTCCCTGAGGGGAAAAAAACCCAAGCGAGGGAGCGCCTGTTGTTTCTTGTTGTAGGCGATAAATGTACATTTTTTTGGGATTATTATAAAGTTTGATCGCAGTGCAATCCAGGGCTTGCTGGATTTGTGGCCTTTAATTTGGATTTGTTCAAAGGCTTCAGATGGGATAGTCTGTCCCAAGAAAGGGTTGTCTTCAGGTCTTGTTTACATCCAGACAAAATTTTTAGGTATTGTTTGTGAAATTTTTTCTAATGTCATCAATGACAGAACAATTCACAGACAAAACAGATTGTTGTGTTGTGTTGTTTAGTTCCTTGTTTTGGGATTTTCTTGAATCTAAAAATATGACAGAATAAAATGACAGCAAAAACAAACTAATGGAAATTAATGAAGTTTTTATAAACCTTGTACAAACCAGTTTTAGAGGAAATCTACTTTACCAAATTCCTACTGATAAGATAGAAATAACCCTCTTTTTATATTAGGGTAAATTGTTAAATATAACAAAATTTACAAGTTTAGTGCAATTACTGACCTCTCTGTTTTGATGCTGTTACTAAGAAAAAATGTCAATTTATTGTATATTTCAAATATTAGTTAAGGAAAAATAGATACTTCAGTACAAAATTGGCTGACACCATCATGTTTCATTCTTATTAAAAGTTGGATCATGTTAATGATATCATCAGGGATTGTGTAACAAATGTATTAAAATTGTAAAAAATATTTTGAGATGTGAAAAACTGTATTAAAATTATGACTTTTTTTGTTTGTTTATACCACTTAATGACGATCCATTCGAATCAAACTATATGATTAACCAACAGTATTGTGATAGGTGCGACAGCGAATTAAATTATAAGAGATGATGATACAATACAATCGTGCCAAATTAATGAGATTTTTTTGTATTAACTCAAACTTTAGTCATTGTAATTTTCTTTTTATATTATTAAAATACTTCAAATCTATCCATCTATCTACTATTATCATAAAAGTGTGAAAAGTTGGTCATAGTTTTTAATTTTTTAAACCTCAATTTTACCTTCTCAAATCTATTGTATTTTTTAAAAGTCATGAAGAGTTTTATATAAATTAACCTCTTTATTTTTAGAGTTGAACACTCAAAAACGATATATTTACTTTTAAGAGTTTTATATAAATATAAACAAATTGTCTCTCTTCTTATAAAAAAAAATAATGATTATCTATTTTTTACATTGATGATGATTGAAGAATAAAAAATAATTACTTGTTCTTATTTTCTGTGTCTGCTTCTATACTGATATACATAATATTTATAATTGTCCATCATGGATCAAATCATTGTAAATAATTTTAGTTGATTTTTGAAAAGAAACTAATATTTTGAAACAATAAAAGATGAAATAAGGAACTAATATTTTCAGACGAAGAGTGTATATATAATTCTTTTTCTACCTCCCTCTCTATTAATTTTGGATATTTCCCACCAATAATCATTTTGGACCATTTTAACATAAATTTTAGGATTTATTACACTTTTTACCTTTAAATTATTGCTAAATTGTCTATTTAGGGGCGTTTTGACAAGCAAGTAAAAAGCCAATTTTTTGAATTTTTGACTTTTTAAATCACATCACTTCTTTATTTTTTTTACACAAAAAAAGTCAAAAAAATAATTTTTTACCATCTTTCCAAAACATCACTTAGAGCAACTCCAAGGGAAGAGGTATATTGGTAAACTATCGATTGAGTCTACTTAGTCCTAAAGTATATAAATTAAAATTTATTTAGTTTATAAACTATCAATTGAATCTATTAAATCCCTAAAATATTTAATTCAAACCTATTTAATTCCTAAAAAGATTACAAAAATAAAATATAAGCTCGTAAATATTATAAATTAGTAAAAGATCCTATCAGATTAAAATTTTATTTCATAAAAATCTTAAATTTCTATTTTGTCTTAAAAAAATCCGCTATAGGATAAGCCAAGGCCTCAATTTTGGCATTTTGGTCTAATGAGGAGGCTTCATTTATCTGAATATTTTTTCGCTGTGTATTTAAATTAGTATTAGAGTTTGATTCTTAGTGAGTATTAAACATACTGAAGAAATAGAACTAGATAATTTGAATAATAAAACTTCGCTACGAATTATAATTGAACAAAATAATATATTAATTAAGTTATACCAAGAATTTAAGAAAAAATTTAAAAACAACCAATAGAAAATTATAAACAAAATCAAGTATATAATACTAGATAAAGGGCTCATATTTTAATTAGATAATTTTTTTTACTAATTTATAATATTTATAGATTTATATTTATTTTATAATCTTTTCAAACATTAAATAGATTTAAATTAAATTTTTTAAAATTTTAATATATTGAATCGATAGTTTAAGAAATAAATAAATTTTAATTTATATACTCTAAAGACTAATTTATATATTTTAATCTCCCTCCAGCATTCTTCCTCTGTCCACTCCTCACCTCAATCAAAAACCCTAGTCAGCAAGCAATGTTGGCTGGCATTAACTTCCATGTCTTCCAATCCATATCAAACACACAAAACCCTAGTCTCTGAACCCACCATGTATTCCAAACCCTACCCCTGCAGACCACAAGAATACCAACAACCATGTCGGATCGACAATCCTGGTCAATTGACACCGACCTCGACGGAATCGGCCTCGAACCCTCCGACTTCACATCCTCAATCCCCCTAAAAAAGGTCCCCTTCGGCGACGTTTTCGAGGCCTCTCGCGCCGGCGATGTGTCTCGTCTCCGGGACCTCCTCGATTCCGGCGTCAATGTCAACGCTCGAGACCAATGGGATTCCGTGGCTCTCTACTACGCTTGCTTGGCGGGTCATCTCGATGCGGCCAGGATGTTATTGGAGAGTGGTGCGATTTGCTCCGAGCATACCTTTGATGGAGACCGGTGTCACTACGCGGCCTTGAATTTGAAGGTCAGGAAGCTTTTGAAGGCCTTTGAAGCTCGCCCGCCGCCTTTGGGCCCCTTGCAGGCCGCGTTGAGGGAGACTTTCTTGGGTTGTTGCGCTAATCGGAATTTTCTCGAGCTGTCTAATAGTCAATCCTCCTCAATCCCAGGTGTGATATGTGATTTACAAAGTGTAATATTTGTATTGAGAATTGGGTTTCTTGTTGGATTGATAAAGGTATAACTTTTAACTATGTTTGAAATTTGTTTGAGAATTTAGAACAAAAACTTGATTTGATATAGCTCACTTCTCCAATGGTGAGAATGATTTTTGTCATCAAATATTTTTAAAAATACTATCCTATACCAAAAACCTCCTTTAATCAAGGTGATAATAAATAAATGAATAAATAACCTATCTCTAAATTGTTCATCTTTTAACGGTTTCATCAACTTAAGTGAAAAAAGGTTTTTGGAAATTTGGAGAAAGATTTGATTCTTACTTGATTTGATAAAATATTTGGTGAATTGATTTGATTTTAATGTAATTGATTACAATATCGTTTTTTAACTACATACAAGCTATAAACTGTATTAAATGTTTTCCCATTAACTTTTAGAACTTACACTTTCGAGGTTTGGTGATCATGATGGTAGCAGAATAATGAAGATGACAAATTATGAAAATTTTATTACATAAACCAAAAGGCATGCCCCTGATTTTCTATTACTATTATGTTTGTTAATTAATTGAGGTTGATTTTATTACGTGCATATTCATTTCTCATAGATAAACCATTTTCCCAAGCTAAATTTGATTGTTGATCTGTTTGGTGTGGGAAACTGAGTAGGTAATTCATCCAATGGGGGATCCAGTTCTGGCCACTTCCCTCCAGATGTGGTATTTTACGTGCAAGGAAGGCCTATTGAAGCTCACAGAATCATCTTGAGTGCTAGATCACCCTTCTTCAAGAGAAAATTTGAGACCCACTGGATGGATCGTAAGGAAGTAAGATTCTCAAGGGAAAAGTTGTCCTATCATGCTCTTTACGGCCTCATCCACTTCTTTTATTCTGACCGACTGGAGATTGCAGTAGATGACATGGAGGATCTTGCAAGAATTTGCAAAGTTTGCAAGTGCAATTCATTACAAAGGGTCCTCGAAAAAGAACTAATTCACCAAAAATATGCAGAGTACAAAGCACTCAGAGATGTAGACAACTCTCAGAAACGATTTATCTTGCAGGGCTTGTCACTTCCTGAGGAAGACCGTCTTCCTGCTGCCTTGCATCGAATCCTTCAAATTTCTCTTGTTAGTTCCACCAGGGAACAAAACCCGGACTCTGGTGTTGAGAATATAGTATCTCGTCTAGGTGCAATGCAGATGAGTGAGTTTGAGAATGATCTTGCCGATGTTTGTGTTAGAGTTGATAAAAAGGTATTTCGCTGCCATCAAGTGGTCTTAGCATCCAGATCAGAGTACTTTAAAGCAAGATTATCCCGCATGAAGGATTTTCTTGAAGGAAAAGATGGTTTATCTGATTATGTTCTTCCATGTCTTGAAGAACATGATTTGAGCATGGAGGCATTTGAGAAGATGATCGAGTACATGTTAGTTTGTTCTTTCTAAATGAAATGTAAAACCCAAATTAAATGGATTTAAATGTGTTTCCTTATCAGCACTGTACTTTTTCTAGTTTTTTTGGATGTTTACAGAAGCTTCAAACTTGAATATATTTACTTTTTTCATGTGACTAAAATTTGTTGGATCAGGTATACTGATGGTTTGAAGGATATAGATCCAGATCAGGTATATTAAATATAATTTAAGGACTCTAGGAATGTAATCATTACTATGTGCAATGCTCACTTACTTTTTTTCTTTTTCTTTTTTATGAGCAGGCTGAAGAGATGTTCGATGCAGCTTCCAGATATTTGTTATTTCCTTTAAAGCGCGCTGTTGCTGATGTACTGCTGCCTCAACTTGAAATGGTTCCTCCAGCAGAATTGTGCCATTGGCTGATACTATCAGACATGTATTCTTTCTTTCTCCATCAACCTTCCTCAAATTTCTTAATAGATTTTGGTAATGACATTTTAAATTATTCTCAACTTGTGAATGAAAGGTATATTGAGCCTATTACATCCTTCACATATCTTGTAATATCTGTTCTGCTTGTTACTTAGCCTTCTATGGTTCAGGCGTTCTGCGGTTGATTTGAAGTTGAAATAATTTTCTTAATTTTGATATTTTGGATAAAAAGCACTGTACCTGGCTCACAATATGATCGTGAATTCTCTTTGGAACCTAATGAAGTCATCCACGAGTTCTTGTTGGCACTAAGATTTTTGTTTGACCAGAAACATTGTTTGTTCTTTGTCATTATCATTGTTAAAACATTTTTAGAGGTGGAAAAATGGTGACTATCTGGTATGGAGAGGGGAAAACTTGCCAAGATGTAATAATTATCAACCTTTATATCTTATTTCCAGATAGACCATTGTATGTCTTCCCGACATTTGTTTTACCGATTGTGTCTAAAGTGACTCTGTTATATACCTCATTAATTAGCAACATAGTTTTGGTTTTAATATTCTTGAATTGAATTGTTTACATCTACAGGTATGGTGTTCTGAAGATTCGGGAGTTTTGTCTAGACGTAATAGCCTGTAACTTCGAGACATTTGCTGATACTCCCGAGTTCCGGGCCATGCTTTTGACCCTTCCCCCACCATCTGGAGATTCATCACTTCGTACCACAGTACCAAGTGCCCCAGGTGCCGGGGTGAATACAGACCAAGCAAATCTTCTTGATGATCTGAGAGAGAAATGGCTCGAGGCTGAAGCTGCAGAGCTTGACAAGAGAGATGAGAGCGCATTATTGTTTGACAAGCGCCTTGAGATGCTTATGCTCATTGCAGAACAAGAAAAATCTGATGTTCATTCTAATGATAGCCATGATTGTGCTACAGAAACCGTTACAACCCTGTCCTCTGTTCTTGCACAAAAATGAACAAAAAGGGTTAAAAAAAGAAGAAAGAAAATAAAATGTTTTAATTCATTTTTTCAAATGTTTAACAAAGTAATTTGTTATTGTAGTATTGAAAATGTGACTGCGAACAGAAGTTGTCCTATCATGCTCTTTACGGCCTCATCCTTTGTAACTTCTTTGTTTTAGTACCCATAAATTTTGTAGCTTGTGTGTGCTTTTGTCAAAATTATGCTGCCTTCAAGTTATTATTCTCAGACGTATTACCGGAATCATCTATTGTATGGAAGCATGAGAACATTACTTTGAACCCATTACAGCCACTGACTCAAAATCCTAATTTTTATGCAAGGGTCGTTTATTTTTTCTTTCCTCTTATATATATATATATATATATTGGGATTTTTAGTTTAACGTTTTTGATAATAGAATTTTATAAGACAAAAGACATGTAATATTTTTATAATAGTTGGGATTTCTCAACATTTCTAACTCTTTCTGGATAAATTTTTTTTTATTTTAAATTTTAGTTCTTTATAGAGAAATTTTGACCATGTTTATGTTTGGTTTGTTTTTGTGAAATCATTTTAAAAAATAATTTTCGAGAAGAAGTTTACAAAATTTGAAAAATTTGTTTGATTATATATTTTGAAAATAGTTTTGGAGTTTGGGAAGATTTATTAATTTTTTGGGGGTAGATTGGACGGTGTTGTTGGGCCTGTGGTGATAATCTGAACTGTCCAATGTGTAGAGTTCATCGAGTATTTTATTTTTGTAAAAAATCACGTTGATCTTATCAAATTTTTGTCAACAATTTATTTTGAAATTTATATTTACCATTGACAGAAATTTGATTCAATCAAGTAGCTATCGATATCCGATCAACGTGATTTTTTACAAGAATAAAGTACTCGATGAGTTCTACACATTGGATGATTCAGATCATTGAAACGGGACCTGTGGTGGGCCTCCACAGGCCCAACAATATGCTCTAGTCCGATCATTGGAGAGAAGCTGCCCCCTTTTTTTTTTTTTTTGTAGTTGAATAGATGGGTGTGATGTGAGAGAAAAAATGATTGATTGATGTGTAGGATGTGTGAGAAAGAAAGAGGAGAAAAAAATTGATTGATTAATGTGTAGTATAGAGAAATTAAGTCATTTTGAATTTTTTTCAAAAATTTTCAATCAAACAAAATTTTGAAATTTTTTATCAAAAATTGTTTCTAAAGAGACAAATCAAATAAGGCCTTTAGCTCTTTACAGAGAATTTTTTCTAATAATATTATTGAGGACTTTAACTAACAAAAAAACAAAAAAATATTGAACCTCTCCTATTAACCAAAGTTGGAGAGGGATATATTTTTAGTTTTTGTTTTCACAGAAAAGCTGCTCAATTGCCCTACAGTTCTGTTGTTTCTGGCATGGTAGTTATGTATGCTGCTCAGATTCGATTAGGTTTCAGTTTGTTCTGTTCAAAGCCAAAAGAATTTATTGAAGGGGTAAATTGCAGTACACCTCAGAGTATCAGTGAGATTTCAAAAACATCAGGAGATGTTCCTGTAAATTCAAAAAAATTCAGGGGTACTAATATAATTTCCATTACAAGTGTCTTAGTTTCCAGGTGCTTCTAAATGCAGCTCTTTTATTTCCTTTCACACCCATTTCAAATTGACAGGTTTCAATATAGGCCTCAGGCTGAGCTTTGCCATCAGCTGGTTAATATCAAAGGATAAAGAAGTATTTCATGTTTTTTCATATTTCAGTAATCTAAAAAGGAGGTTTATGTAATATTATATAATTTGGGAACACATTCTAATAAACCCAAACCTCAGGGATGGCAATATTAAGAACAACGTAGTAAATGTCAAAAAGAATTTCTACGAACAACAAACTGTAATTACACAAGAAAAATTTACAGAAACCTTTTTCCTTAGGTTCACCATAACATTAACAATGACCGTAAGAAATTAGCAACTGAGATATAAAACTAACTGCAACCTATTGCTTTTTTTGATCCTTTGGAAGAAAAATAAATAAAGAAAAAAAAATGATAAGCAGTAACGCTTGGTCATTCTCCATTGTCCTTTTCAGCCTCTGTTGAGCATTCCTCTGTTTCAATGAGAGGGGAGAGAGCAGTGCCAGAGACAACAGCATCATCAGTGGTATCCTTCTGTTCATTAGGTGTTGACCCTGACTCTCCGGCTTTTTGCCTCAGGCTCCAGTACATGATGCTCGCCGCTAGGGTGAGGATCATCTTCTGGTTCACCTGTAACAAAATAGCACTAAGATGCTAAGAACATGAAATTGTGTACCAATCTAAAGTTGATGGTGGATTTGTTATCAACTAAGAAGCATGGACGCTTCTAAGAAGGTGTGTGTCCATGTTTGATGCTCATCAAACACTCCTTGACATGCGCCAAGCACATGTCCAAATGTGTGACATTATTTTTTTAAGACCTAAACACACTTCGAATATAGAAGACACATATGTCTATTGCTTAAATATACATGAAACACATTATAAAGTTGAACAAAATAACTTAGACGATACAATGATAATATATATAGATTTATACTAACTAAATTTCTCTTCCTTTAGACTCTATAAGTTAGTGTTGTGTTACATTTTTTTATTAACTTTGACTGAAATATTCATATATATCTATGACATATAATTAAACTATATGTTTTGTGCATGTCTCCTATGTGTTATGCCTTGCATTTTTTGAAAATTGATGTGTCGTGTCCATGTTATGTCCGTATTGTGTCGCGTGTCTGTACTTCTTAGGTTATCAAAGTTCTATTAACTCAGACAGAAAGAATTAAGTCAATTCCTATCACTTGCAAATGACAGTCAACGATTAAATCAGAACCCCACAAAAGGTGCCAACCAGTTCAAGTGGTTGGGTTAATTAACATTTTGAGCTACGACTTATAGGAAGAGTAATTTGTATTTGACAAGGGCATCCTTCAAAGTAACCTCAACCAAGTGGACAGCTATATACATGATAGTGATTAAAAGTTTACATAACCAGGTTCACCGTGATCATATTCTTACCTCCATTATGTCCTCGGGCAATAAGAAAATGGAGCACCCAAGCTTTCGAGTAACACTGATGATATATGTTGCATTCAACTTCTTATCCTCATCTGAGATTACGATAACAAAACTAAGATCAGATAGCTAATTCCACAACTGGGCCTGTTATGGGAGCTTAAATCACAATTTCAATGTAAATTATTTCACTTTCCCATAATTTCTATAGTGACAGATAAATGACTGGAACTATATTCTACTTCTCCATATTAGTTATGATTTCATGCACTCTAGGTAGCCCAATGAAACAAAATTGGTGCATTCTGGTTTTCTTATGCAAGTGCTGAAAAATTTCAGTCTCCGTAGTGAAATTTCAGTAAAATAAAAAGAGAGAAAATATTAACCATACGTGAACTAAAAGAATCAAAGTCCCCAATTTCAAGAATTATGTCAGATAAAAATCCAACAGTATTAAGAGTAACATACCAGTTTCACCCTTAGTAACGACACTCCAGTTAACAACCCTCGGCTCCACAGCACTAAGAAGTTCTAGGAAGAAAGTCCCATTTGAAAGGTTTTTGTCCTATCAAAAGTTGCACAAAGTACCAAATCATCAGTCACGGCTCAAAAACCCAATCATATTACAAGACCATGCTTTGTTAATTACCTTGAAGCTGTCCATTTGAGATTTTCTGCCTGAGCTCTTCACTTTGTGGTTAGCCCAAGTTAGAATGTCACTGTCTGCTATCTCCTTTCCCTTAGCGTGAAACCTTAGGTTTTTCAAGAGTTGGAGCATGGTAAACCTCATCAACTGCCACAGGAAAGCTGAGAAAAAGGCGGACAATGTAAGTTTTCCTTTTTTTTCTTTTACAAATTACAGAAAATTAAAATTTGAGCCTGTGAAATTTAAATAGATGTTTGTTGATTCAATAGAAAAACAGTTCTAACTTCTAACAAATGTGTGTCGATTATTACTTGAATGGAATGCACCCCAGTCAGCCATGTATTAGTTGCTGAAAGTTTTCTTATTTTAGTCCAAGAGAAACAAGGACCTAGCTGATATTCCTAATGATTATCATGTTAGAAAAACGATTATATTGAGGGGAAGCATGTTATTATTTTTTTAATAAAAATTAATGATAATAACAGAATTTATTATTAGAAAAACTTGCTAGCAGTTAATCTAGATTCATTTAACTTAAAACTTCAGCCAATACTGAAAAATAAAACTTGTGTGATCATAGCATAGGTGATTTTTATAGTTCAATACATCACAACTACAAAAGAATACTGTCTTTGGCATAGAAGTATCTACAAAAGCAGTTTGCTATAAAGAAATGAAACCTGAAGCTCTGATCCGTTTAACCCATAAGATACCTATAACCATCCAATCATTGGGTTATTCATCATTTTTAAGGCTCTGTAATGTTGTAGAATTGACAGAGTTATATCTTCTGCTTCTACTTCTGCTGCTGCTTCTTTTTTCTTTTTCTTTTTTTCTTTTTTTCTTTTTCAAAGATGCATCACAGAAAGGGGAAGAAAAAGAAAAATGCAAAGGAAAGAAAGATCAGTTTTTAACTACAAAAACCACATCTTCCATTTTAAGCTTTTATTCTAATTCCACAACTTCAAGAAAAGGAGAAGAAAGAAAGTCCTTTCACAAAGATAGCTTAAAAAATTTTATCCTGGAAAATGGAAAAGATCAAATATTCAACTAGCTGAGCATGTATGAAGGTTCTGGCTCAAACAGAAGATAGTAACTAAGTAGAAATGAAACTGAAAGAATAAATGCAGAACTGAGCAAAGTCCACTAAAAGCAGATACATGACAAGCAATTGTGACTCGGGAAAACTTTTCTTCTGCAAAACGTAGTTATCACATAAGCCCAAAAGCATGTGTTGAAGTGCACTAACCTAGTATGAGCTTCTTGTTTCCCTGTACAATATCGTTTCCTGCCACATTCACAAGAGAGAAGTTCAATTCCTTTCCAATCCGTATAACTTGGTTGCAATTCTCAACTTTTCTGAAAGGCATCTTGATGGGAGGTTTCGTTGCTTGCTTCCAGTTTACTGATCCTGGGTAAACTTTGTCAAGAACTTCCAAAATAACCCATCTGCATGAAAGAGGGATAAAAATCAAACAAATAACAGGCACTCAAAAATAGGCAAGGAAATTGTAACCTCACCCTGTTCTGACATCCTCAAACAGATTATTGACATATGAATCGATTCCAAGACTGTTAATCCACAGTCGGAAGCATCTCTCTTCCCTAGAAGTTTGAGCATCATCTGTCATCATCTCAGCAAAAGACATATTTTTGGTGTCCATGGATAAGCCATTCCTGAATTAAGAAATTCACAAACTAATTACAAAGAAATCCATGGTGATAAAATCATGGGAAAAGCCAAAATATGCACAAGCAATTAGTCCGACCTCTGCTGGAATATTTGAGCAACAAATGCCAGATTTAGATTTGTCGATCCCTCAACGATGTCCTTTGGAGTGACATATCTTTTGCAATCCATTCTCTCTGCATGCTCAAGAATCAAATTCGCTCTTTCAGTAGGATCCTTAGTATCCAATGTGGTGGCACTACCATGTTCTGGTGCAAGAACATTAAGCAAGTGAGCATAGGCTTCGCCATCCTGCCAGTGCACAAAGCCTACAAGGTCATTTCAGTGAAAATACAAAAAAAGGAGACTACAAATTCTAAAAAACAAGAAGTTATAAGATTATAATATTCCGAGGGTATGTTTTGACTCATTAATTGATGATTGATCAGCTGTGAAAGTGTCTCCTTAAAAAAAAAATCATGAAACAGAAAGCAAATAAAGAATACAGCACCAAAATCCAGTTTCGGTCAGTAGTTCTTCATTAAAACCTCTTTCATTCTATATGGAAACCTCTCGCATTACGCTAAAGAATGGAGTTGCTGCTATTAAATAAGCCATGGTGGTGAACTGATCATTCAAGGAAAACAGCATGGAAACAAATTATATAGGATCTCAACTATCCACCACCACCCTATATATATCTCAAAAGTGACAAAGCCACTTTTTTTTCTTTGACTGAACATTTTTTGCCTGACAATGGTTCAAATTAATCCAAATTGCAAAAAATACATTTAACCATTAGATTGTGCAAAAAGTCATGAATCATGATGCTTGAAGTAGTAAAGAACAGTCCATAATAAAAGAGCCAAAATATAAATGTTGACCATGTTTTTGGTTTGATTTTCCCTCCTTTAGAGGTGAAAGGGGTACCTCCCTAACTTTGCTCCAATACCATACGTAGGACGACAATATTCTGGGTAGTATCATCAAAAAGTACATACAAATCCATTTATCTATAATTATGTATTCTGATAAACAAAACACTACTACTAGATTTTAAACAAGAGTGCTTCGTCATAAAGAAACTGGTGAACTTTTTCTTACCTTCAGATCAGATGAGAAATTTGAAACCTGTTTCTTGTATCCTGCTTTCTTCAATTGGAAATTCATCCATTTGAGTAAAACCTTTTCTGGGGGTAAACCCATGAGTTCCTCAACATCCTGCAAATTTCATTTATGTATTTGATATAATAACAAAATGTAAAACATAACACTATTTTTCATTACAAAAACAATGAAAGGCAATAAACAATCAACATCTTGTGACCTTGCTGTCATCCACCAATTCCAGAAGTTGAGGAGTTTTCTTTAGATTGAGATCAGCTAACAGTTGAATCTGATGTTTCCACCAAATGAAAATACAAAAAGCTTGAGAACTTTGGTGATTAAGATCTAAATATCTCTAGAAAATACCCATTGAACAAAGTAAAGATACCTTAATCATTTGAGAAATCAACCCCATTACCAGATGTGGCTACAATAAACAAACAAACAAACAAAATGAAGAGACTTCAGCAATTTTCATATCAGCAACAAAAAATATTCAAGAACATTTCAATGAATAGCTAGCAGTAGCTTAACCTACTCTTGCTTCAACCAAGTCCTGTTCGCCAATATTAACTACAGTGCAGCCTATAGCCTTTGCAGAATTGAGGCAAAGCGTGTGATTCTCATTCCTCTCCCACGGATTAAGGACCTGTTTTTTGTTAATAGCCCGCTCATCTATTGTGCCAGGGACAGCCACATTGATGAGCTTACTGCATAGAACAAGTAATACAATAACAAACCACAAAAAAGTCATTTGACTTGGAAACTATAGTGCAAAGTGGGTCTTTTATATATACCAGAGAAGAACTCCATCTTTTGCAAGGTCAAATAAAGCATTGGTAGATGGATCTAGAGGAAGATATTTCTTCAAGAACGGATCATCTCTGAGGAAGCTGTTAATGTGGGCAACATAAGAGGCCTTCTCAGATTCACTAATGGTGTGGCGGAGGGTGGTTGTAGTAGCCTTCAGAAATGAAACGGAACTTTTCAATTTTGGTCCGCCTGATTTTGACGTTGCTCTTGACTGTAGATTCAGGTATACCTGCTCATCACAAAATCACACTAAGGTTTTATATCTTGCTGCAACTAAAAGAACCAAACTTGATCTACAAAGTACAAACATGAATAACATTAATATATATGAGATGATGATGATAAACAAGCAATACAAATTCATAGAGGACCTCCAATTAACTAAATCCCATTGTTTTTTTTTTATTATTTTATTTTATTTATTTTTTTAAAATTTATTTACATTTCTATGTACTTCATCCACCAAAAAGGTTTTGAAGAGAGAACCATCAAATTTTAGTAAGCCTGCCCATTAACTAGCATAGTTGTTTGTTGAATAGTGTGATAGACATTGTTGGGCCCATTTCCTAACAATTTGAGCTATTGGGGCAATTGGTGACTTAAGATGATATCAAAGCTCATGTTGGAGGAGGTTTTGGGTTCAAGTCTTTGTTTGCATTTAGTCCCTGTTTGCATTCTGTCATTCACAGACATTCTTTTATCTTTTTTTTTTTTGCGTCTCTACATGCAAGATGGGGTTGCATGTGGGGGAGGATATTTCCTAACCGCTTAAGCTTTTGGGCAATGGGTGACTTTACATGTTGAAACTCTATTTAGTTAACCTTCTTGTCCTCAATGTATTTCATCCACCAAAATGGCCTAGAGGAGAGAACCATCAAATTTTAGTAGGCCTGCCCATTAACTAGCATAATTGTTCAACCTCTATTTAGTTATCTTGTCCCCTATTTCCTAAAAGCTAAAAGTCTCCACCAAGTATGAAAAACATTAAGAACAAATAACAGAAAAGGCAGGCTATGAAAGTAACATCCTCATAAACTCACCCGAAGGAAGGATTCAAAATCAATTTCTTCGCTCAAGTCAGAAGATTCCCCCAAGATGGTCTTAATCTGAGCCTCAGTAAAGACACCAGTCAAATTCTTTAAATGCACCATAACTGGTGGCAAATCTCCCAACGTGATTTTACCAGATTGGTTCTTTGCTGAAAGAAACTATAACCCAGTGCAACCATATGTCAACCAAGAATTGCCACTTAACCAAATATTTGTCAATACAATTTTGATAGCTGAATTCAAAGAAGAAAGCACAACCCAAAAAAATTAACAAAATTGATAAAATAACCTACTTTGGATTTGAGACCACGAAGCTCGACTTGAGTGAAATGGCTTTGAAGCGATGGATCAGAAATAACAACACCCACAAAACCAGACATTTTGCTTGTAATTGTGCGAGTCCCAAATGAGAGAAGGAGAAAACTAAAAATTGTCCAGAAATCAAACACCAAATTAAGAAAACCAATTAAGACAGTCCAAGCACGAAATTTCTGATTAGCAATGTATGATATACAAGCTCTAGATCCACATTAATTAAACAAATCAACACCCAGTTGAGAATAGATGATGTACAGGTTGTTTAACATGCATGTATATTCACTAAAAGAATCACACAATGTTTGTTTGCTGAGAAAATGAATATAGGGAAACGAAATAAATACCAGAATTTGGAATACTTTCAATCGAATATGCCGAAACCTCGGGCAGAAGTGTGGCAAATCTTAGGAACCCAGATTCCAAAACTAAATTTTGGTTTCACGTCCTCTGTTTTTTTCTCAGTACCCAAACAGAGGATTGGGAAAACCTAATGTGCAGCGAATGGAACGAAGAAAATAGTCGAAACCCATAAAGGAAAAAACGCCATCAAAAGAGGGGGAAAAAAATGAAAGAGAATGAAGCTCCTTCTGAAATTCAAAATCTCATTGTGAGATTGAAGAGCTATCTCTCTGTTCTTCAGGTGGCATTGCTTGAATGGGGAAACGGAGAGGGAGAGAGAGAGAGAGAGAGAAGGGAGAGAAAACCGTATTACCTATAAGAGGCGCGAATCCTAAGGGTGGCAAATCATTCATCGTGTTTGTGTGCTACGAAAATGATAAGCTCCCCATGAATCGCAAATCTTGCCCAATAAATTTTCCAACGTGTTATATATCATATTTATTTGAAAAACGATTCATAAATGAATTTCACCAATGAATTTCACCTCGCTCGAATTGTTTGAATTTTGTAAGGCAGATGATTGTCTAGACAATCGGTGTTAATCTTTATTAATAAGAGTGTAAAAATGATTTGAGATTTGTAAAAATGGTTCGAGATTTGTGAGTGACTTGAGATGGGTCCGGCCCGTTTTAGTTTGGTTAGGCTCGGGTCCAAGCCCAACCCAGGACCTTGGCTTGGGCCTAAGCTTTCCATTTGAAATCCGACCACCCAATTCTCCCTATGCTAACGGTTAAATTTTAAAAAAAATAAAAATAAAAAATAAAAAGCAAGTTACAACGGTTAAATAATTTTAAAAAATAAATAAAATAAAGGTTAATCTTATTGTGCAACAATGTTAATATATATAGGACTGGTCATTTCTTTGTAGGAAGGTAAAGCTGATATTTGCCCCTGCCCTGCAAGGATAGGACTGACTCAAAATCAATTACTAAGATCATTAATTAAGTCAGGAGTAAGACTGACTCAAAATCAACCACCAAGATCATTTATCAAGTCATTTCCTTGTAGGCTGCCAGTGTCGCCCTACCGCCTGCCCCCTTAGGCCTTGCCTTGTCACCATGTCATGCAGTATCATCACTCACATCATGATTCATTGCAATTTGAAAAAAAAAATAAAAATAATCTACACTTATTTTATTTAATGATATAAATTTTTGTATTATTTTATTTCATTTTGAAATAAAAATTATTCATTCAATAAATGTTATATAATTAATTTAATATTATAATATTAAAAGTTTCATTTTCATATACATAAAATTATTCATTTCAAAAGAAAAAAATTACATAATTACATATTCTTTAATTATAAGTTCATAATTAAAAAATTATAAGTTATACATAATTAAATTTAAATACCACCATGAAATATAACCAAACAAAACATCTCATTAATTTTAACTAAAATACTTTAGTATAATTTTTCTTTTATTTTTTATCCCTAATAAATAATCTACATAGATAATGTATTCATTGTTCATTTTTTTAATAATAAAAAAAAGGGTCCGCCCAGGCCCTGGGCCCTATTCTGAGTGGGCCTGGACTTGGACTTGGACTTGGGTCCTACTTTTCGGCCCATCGGCCCACCAAAAAACGTGAGAGCCCATGCCGGACCATTATTACATCCTTACCAATCAAATACAACTTGCACCCTTATTTTTGGATGACCGACAATGCATCCGACATATAAAAATTTGAACAAATCACAATTTGATGGATATAAACGTTGTTCTATTTATTTATTATTTGAAAAAATGCTTTATATCCTAAAATATTAATTAATTAATTTATTAATTCTTTTAAAGATGGAAACATGAATCTTAAATTTATCCCCGCTTGTTAATTTATTTAATAATCAATTAAGTTCATACATCAATCATGTTGTTATAAGTAAATTTAGAGATAATATTTTAGAAGTTCGGGTTTTTGTTCAATCCATATAATGAACGAGAGGGCGTTGTTTGACCTTGGAAGTACATCGTAAGTCCTATTTTAATGATTTAAATTATTCATTTGTCTATCTTTTTATATATATCATTCATAAAAAAATAATATAATCATAACATATTTAATTTATTACATTACTTATCTTCTAAAACATATTTTATTTTTAATTTTTTCATGACACTAGCAAACACCATAATAGATCCTCTTTTTTTTTTTTTTTTGATTCAAAAAAAAGTTTAGGAGGAGGGGAGGTTATCCCTACTCCAGGGTCAGGAAAAGTATTACGTAATATCACCTACTAACAAAGGATTACCGGCAGAAAGACTCGAACCTAAGCCAAATAAACGAAGAGAACGAGCCTTTACCAACTGAATCAACCCTTGTTGGCCATAATTGATCTTTTGTTGAAGGTTCAGAACTACTCAAACCCTGCATAATTGTTATTTCAAGCATTGGTTTATTTGTGGCCCCTGGAGGTGCGAACCCGAGACTTTATTGGGCTAACAGTCCAGTTGAAAGTTTTGTTTTGATCGGCCCAGTTGAAAGGTTATTATCAAGTTATAAGTTTTAACACCAACATTGAGTAAAAGGCTGGCCCAATTTATTTATTTATTTATATTTTTCTTTGGAGGGAAGATCAAGGCCGGCCAAACTGTTGAGGGCCTTAAATAAAATCTCAAATTAAAATTTGATGTTTAATAATTTTTTATTTTTTACATTCTAAAATTTATGTATTTAAATTAAAGCTCATTTGTCCTTGCATATTTATTTTGTAAACATAGCTTTTAATACTCTTATTTTATTATCACTTCCCTTTAGATAAGAATTTTTTTTTTATGTTTATAGGCCTTTGGATAAGAAAGATTTTTTTATTACTATGATTATTTTTATGCTGATAATGAAAGTTTATTATTTTGTTAAGTCTTTAAAAAAATAAGATATTTTTTTGCCCATCTAGAGAGATTGATTCCCGAAACTCAAACCAGCACATACGATACATAGGATCAAAGATAAGATTTTGATTAAGTCTGCTTAAACGCATGAATATTGATACAATCTCTTGAGTACATATCCAAGTCACAAACAATGAAAGCGGCACGAAATAAATACCCAATATAATCATGGGTTTGCCAAAACGTCAAAAGCATGATAGCAGCCCAGTCCATAAAATCATAATAAATTTTAGTGGAGGTGTGTGATGATGGGTTTCACAAGGACTTGTTGCAGGCTTGCAGCAGAGTGATTGCACCGGCACACACCATACATGTTACCTGTTAATGCAAATCTCAATATATATATATATGATAATCGAATGTTGGACTAGAGACTGCAGTGCCAAACTCGTGACATATTTAAAGTTAGTTCTCCTGTTCATGCAGCTTGTAATGAGAGAGAAGTCGAGGAAAAATGTTAAGTGCACAAAATCTGATCATAAAATCAAATATAACTCTATAAAATGAGATGGTCCTGCTATATGTGTAGATCCCACCTCATATAAGAAGATTTATGTCCAGTTTTGTGATCAAATTTTGTGCCCATAGAGAATTGGAATTCAAAATCTGGAAACTTGGTTGCTGGTTGTGTTATTCAGATGCTGCTAACCATTCACAAATTAAACCAGAAAGCAAGCAAAAGGCCATTTTGATTAAAAAAAAAAAAAAAAAAGTAATTACAAGAGTAACTCACATTCTCATACTCCTCTGTATTCAACAACATATAATCCAAAAAATGGCTTCAAATCAAAGCAAATGAATCAATGAACTCTCGTAACATAAATTAAAAATACCCATTACACCCTCTTTCAAAAGAACACAACTAGCCCACTAGCAACTGCCAAAACCAGCTGACTCCAAACACCCAAGTTCACAATCCTATAACAAGATGATGCAAGTGAAGATGATGTAGATGGCTTACCGCCATCTTTTCCAGCTGGGGCGTCGGCTGCTGGGGCAATATCTGGGGCTGGTGCTGGTGCTGGGGTCGGAGGAATATCGGTCCCAAAGATGGCCTCCGGAAGCAAGACCTTATCAACCTGATAAATAGCGATGGGATCAGTCGAGTACACAGAGCTGCTCACTTTGGTGTTGGTCCAACCGGAGCCAATGTGCACAGTTCCTGACACATCGGTGAAATTCAAAGAGTATTGGCCACCGGCGAACGTGCTGATGGGGCTTGTTTCGCTGAGGTTTTTGAAATCTGAGAGACTATAGTAGTGTGACAATGCATGGAATAGGCAGATTGACTTGAGCTGGTCTTGGGTGAGGTTGGAGAGTGTGGACTTTTTGAGAGATGAAAATGCATCATCTTTTGGGACAAAGAGTGTGATTCCTTCTTCGGTGTTGTTGGCTTGGTTTTGGAAGGTTTCAATGGTTTTGGTGGACTCAAGGTAACTGAGGAAGGTGTGGAAAGGGCCTGCAACGGAGAGTAAGTCAGTGAGGTTCACGAACCCCGGTGCCGGTGCAGGCGCCGGAGTCGGGGCTAGTGATGGAGGTGCAGCAGTCTGGGCATGTGTTGATGGAGAACACAGAAGGGCCAGCGTGGTGCTAACCATGAAAATAACGGTGAAATCCATTTTTTTCCCCAAATTTTTTGGATTTATGTTTTTCTGGTGCACAGCCTCTCCAAATTCCTGCAAGGACCAATACCCATCATTTATCAGATCTCGAGTAAGTTTAGGTACACAACTGGACAAGGACACAAAATATATGGATGAACAATATTTTTTAAGAAATAGGCATCACCAACAAATTTTGTAAAATATTGTTCATACATGCATATTGTGTGTTTCTTTCTGTATTCTTAGCAGAACTGTTAGATATTAGAGCATATTAACACAAACCAATTTGTGAAAACTCAATTAAATCACAGAATGAGGGAGAAAATTTTCCAAATTCAACCCATAAAAGATCAGATATCAGTCTTTTGATACAAACTTAGTGGTGAACCAAACCATAATGTGAGTATAGAAAACCCGAAAAATCTTACTAGATCAAAGCCCTAATTGCAAAAGCAGGTAAAAACCCTGTTTTTACAAAGTAGCTTCCATAAACTCCACAAAATGCCCAACAGAATGGCCATCTATGGGAAAATGCATAGAACAACAACACAGCTTCATCACCAAAAAGGAGAAACAAATAAAAGGGTTAATAGAGGATAAATTACAGAGTAAAGGAGCAATAGTGGATGAAAGTGATATATGGGACAGTTGACAACATGCATGCTCTGTAGAGATCAGTCAAACTATGAACCCACCCAACTAGAAAAACCAGAACAAAAAATCCCATTTTGATGAGCGTTATACCAAGAGAACCCTAACAAAGCATCTGTAAGAGCACAAGAAGTCCACAACCACACAATTTAGTACATCAAATGTGACAGAGGAGTGAGATCTAGATCAACACATCCAAAATGAACTTCTAAAAATATATATTCAGAAAAAAAGAAAAAAAAGAAAAAAAACCCATTCACCTATTAACATTAAAGATCAAATTAAGATATGAATCAACAAAAAGACCCTAATGCAGTATCAAAGAATGATACCTCAAACAGAGGGGAGTGAAATGGGAGTGCTGAGACGACTGACCTGTCCAAGAGGAATTCAGAGAGAAACAGTGTTGTGAGTGGTACTAATGCAATGAAGGGTTGTCTATTTAGGTGAGACTATATAGAGACTGGGTTTTATTAGGACAGATAAAATAGAACAAAACAAAAAAAAAAAAAAAAAAAAAAAAAAAAAAAAAAACAACTGTAGAATGGAGGTTGGGAGCTGGTGGATAGGTAATGTAAAGAAATGTACAAATAACAACAATGGAGTATGTTAATGTGATGTGAGTGAGTGAGTGAGGGGGTTAATTTCTCTTTCGTACAAGTAAATTTTACATGGGTGTTGATGGACAGACTTTATAGAAATGAGATAAAAAGTGGGAGTGGCGATGTAGAGAGGGTGGTCTTTCAAAATCAACCTCTCAACCAATTAAATTAGTTTTTAATTTCTCAGTTTGATGACTCTCTCCAACCTTGCACTCTACCCTATCATTTCGATGTGTAATGATTATCAATGAGGTGTTTGTGAAGAAAATTGGACTAAAATAATAACAAAATAAATTAAAATAATTAATAAAATAAAATATTATGTTTAATTTATAGTTAATATTTTTTTTTACAATTATCAAATTAATTATAAAAAAAATTAAACAACTTTTTAAACATAACTATTTTAATCAAATTAAAATCAAATTAAAATAATTAAAGAATTAAATAACCAATTAAAATTGCCAACTCTCCACAACCAATTTCTTTTACGTCTCCATCTTAACATCCAAGGATATTCCCATTTCATGATAAATTTAATATTCCAAGTAATTTCTTAATCTTCACACTTTTGAAAAACTCTCTTAATTTTGGCTAATCCTCTCACCATGCTCAAAATCACTCAAAAACTTTGGTGCAAGTCTTATACTAATTAACTCGTTATATTCGGATGTCTGACTTAAGTACACACTATATGTATATGCTTTTTAGATAATAATTTAATAGTTTTGAAATACTAACTCATGTTGATAAGATATTTTGTGATTATTAGATAAATTACTCAAGAATACTAAATAATTTTCTTATATTTTTTTGCTTAGTATGAATAATTACAGCCAACTTTGAAAACAGCTAACATGGGCCAACTTGGCCTACTGATGAGCATAATAACTAACAGCTAATGTATTATTCTCACAAATCCTTGAAACCCCATCATCATCATCATTATACAAGACCTTCCCTCTTTTGAGTTCTTTTTCCTTCTTTTTCCGTTGTGGGTTGATGATGCAGTGTAATCATTCAATAGAAGAACCTTATTGTTTTCCTACGAAGGGTCACAAGATAAATAGGGTAATTTCTACTGATCTCTTTCGATTAATAAAAGAATTTACATTAATTTTCTCTAGTATCGATTAGCTTTAGTGTTATGTAATTTATATTTCAAGTGAGCACATTTATTCATTATTTAAGGAAAATTTAGTGTAGTTTACACAAATTTTTTAAAAACGAAGGGTTATACAAAGAAGGGAAAATTCATCTATAAGAGATGATAAAATATATAATACATGACACATGTACATATCTTGAGCGAGAAAGAGAAAGAGGGGAGATGAGAAATTATTCTGTCTTGAAAGAATTTTAAGTTGTGGGTGCACAAGATAATAGTGATTGTTTTATGTAATATATAGAAAAGAAAAAAAAAATAGTAAATATATAATCAATAAAATTATAAAAATATACCTAGTAAAATATAGAACCGGCTTGTGTGATAATTTTTTAAGAGAGAGAGAGTGGGGAGGGCCCACCATGAAATTGGGTCCAAGCAGGGGATTGGGGGTGTGTGTGGGGGTTGGTTGTTGCTCTCACCAGAAGCCAACTCTAAACAGCTCAATGATTTGGCAAACATATGCTCATCCCTTCCAACTCCACCAAGCCACCGACAACCCCTCTCCCACCTTCTTTTCTCAACAAGTCTAAAAAGTAGGGTGGTGTCTACCTTTTCTTTGCTAAGAGTAGTAATGCAAAATTTCTACACTTCATTTTCTTCTTTAAGTCACCAATACTCAAAAAAGAACCAAAGTTACGGTTTGAGTTTTCTTTTCATCGTTAAATCCAAAACAAACATAAAGCCATGTTTGGTTTGTATTTATGAAATAATTTTGAAAAATAATTTTTTAAAAAGAGTTTATAAAATTTAAAATTTTGTTTGGTTATATGTTTTGAAAATAGTTTTGAAATTTTGAAATTTGAGATGATTTAATTTTTTTTTTAATTAGTGAAAAGTAATGTCACATGGTACCCTATTAGCATATAAAAATTTCTTGAAAAATAAGTGTAAAAGAAAAAATGATTGATTAATATGCAAAATATGAGGAGAAAGAGAGAGAAATGATTGATTGATTGTAGTAAGAAAAAAATGATTTTAAAATTTTATTTTCAAAAATTTTAAACCAAATAAATTTTTAAAATTTTTTTTCAAAAATTTTCTCTCAATAGACAAACCAAACCAGGCCTTTATGTTCTGGATGATGAAGAAGTTCTGTGCGATGCATTCCCCCAACTTTTTAAATTAATTTTTGGAGGAGGCTCTTCTCCTGTTGAAGTTTTCAACCCATCACGGGATTCATTTCGTTAAGCTAAATTGATTATCTTGTAATGTCTTTCAAGAACATCATTCATGCAAAAAATCACATTGACCGGATAATTATAACTACATGATCCTGTCACATTTATTTAAAAGATCTACTCTAAAAATTATATTTATTGCTTGTTTCTTTTTAAGATAAATCTTATTTGATTATGTAGTTGCGGTTATTCGATCAAAGTGATTATTTGCATAGATAATATTCTCAAAAAATATTACAAGATGAATGATTCAAATTATCGAGATGAGTCCCGTTATGAGCCCACAATGGCCCAATAACACTGTCCAATTGAAAACTTCAACTAGAGAGGAACCTCCTCCTCAATTTTTTTAGATACTGTTACTAATTTGTAGTAGGGTTTTTTGGGTGGATAATTTGTAGTAGGGTTATAAATTAGTTGATTTAAGTTTAGTATAATGTTGTTCAAATTTAGTGTAAACGTTTAACATGTTTTAAAATTGTGTTTAAAAAATATTAGTAATCATCATAATTTGAGCTTGAATAGGCTTTTTTTTTCTTTTTTTTTTTAAATGCAATTTTATAGCATATATAAGGTTGTGAACTCAAGTTTCAAAATGTGACCATTCTCCTAAACTAATTCAACGGTGATTTTATTTAAATTGTACATCTCTTTGTTTTTAACCAAACATAATACAAACACGAATATTCCAATGAACCAAACATTATACTAATAAAAATGCATTAAAACCCGATTTTTAAACATCTTAGACAAAAAAATTTGTACCCAATTCCTTCTTAACACCAACTTCTCAATATTTATTGTAAGCTTCATTTAAACATAAGCATTCGAGACTCGAAGCATTTGTTAGGCAATGGTGTGAATAGATTTTGTGTCAAAAGATCAAATAATAAAGTTTGATTTTATTATTATTTTAAAGTTATTTTACTCCAGTTTTTGTTGGTAGAACAGAAATGCCTTGGAAGCAAGAGAGTCAGTAAAAAAATTTATAACTTGGACTTGATTTCACATAGAATAGTTACAATGTAATTATCAAAGACAGCGATATGAATCAAATTACGAAAGCTGAGTAATTTTCTGTTAACATGGTGTGATTAAGAAAATAACTAGTTGTCAATTGAAGGATGAGAGAGACTAAGCGCAGCAGTTTAAGGTTGAAAGCACGTAAAATTCATTCAAAATTGGTTGTCAAATTATGTAAATTAAGTCATTAATCAAATCTTTAATTTAGTTAACTTGACTTTGAGTGATGAAATTTGTCTCATAAGAAGGTGCAATGGCAATTTCGTACCCAACTCCAGTCTGCTGGGAAGAGGTTTTCCCACTTAGAAGTTGTCTCAATAATTGTATTCTTACCCCTTTTGTTTGATATAATTTTGTTATATTTTGTCCTCAGAAGAAAATAAAGATAGTAAGTTAAATAAGTAAAGTTGAACTCATCCACACAAATATGAATCCCATGAAAATTAAGCTACCTTTTATATTGTGTTCAACTTGAAAAAAAAAAAAAAAAACACTACATAATAATGGTGATTTGTGTTGCACAATCAGGTGAGATGAAAATAAACATAATTAAAATTACACGGACTCAAGAAGGGGCTAAAGTAATGTTTAAAGTTCACTATCTTTTTTAATTAAAAAAATTATGAAATATGCTCAAATACAAAAACATATTTGGAACGCACATTATTTTAGAAATATATTTAGAAAACAAGTTAAAGGGTATAGCCTACAAGAGTTGATGGTTGGAGTTGGTTGGGGGTGGTGAAGGTAGGAACAAATGAAAAATTGTTTATGAAATAAGGAGAAGCACTTTTTTTTCCTTTTTTTTAAAAAAAAAAAAAAATTAACTCATTTGGCAAGTGACTGTTTTAACCAAAAAGTCAATAAAAAAATCAAAAAGTTAATAACCCATACAAAAAAGTTAAAAATTCTATTTTCTCTCTACTTTTTGTATATCTTTTCGTAAAAAATTAAAAAGTCATCCCAAACATACTAGTTTTTTTTAGCTCATATTTTAGCCAAATAGTCAAAAAGTTACTAAATTAACCTATTCTCAAACGAGGCCTAGTAAAATTTGAAATTTGTTTCCATTTTTTCCCCCACATGCTTGTGCTAAGATTATTGTAAAACAAACACAATGCTGTGGAAAGTTGTATTATATTGAAGACAAATTTGCAATTGATCAGAATTTATCAGCAATTAACATGGATCTATCTTGCTGATTTTACTATACACCAACCATATCAAGTGGGACCTTAAGGTTTGTCTGAGATGTGAGTTGATTTTTTAATTTTTTAACTATTTTAACCTAAGATTAAAAAGTCTCATTTTTTAATTAATATGATAGTGGTTTATGAGTCCCAATCTGTATTGCACCATGTGCAAAGTTTGCCTCATTTTCATTCTTAAAATAAAATAAAATAAATGAGTTCATGTTTATTCGACTGTTGCTTTCTATTCACTTTTTCAAAGTAAAACCAAATCCCTTGAAGTATAAGGCGCACCAACAATTTTGTAATGCCAAAAAGTAAGTCTTGATATTAAAGATCATTGCCACCAACTTGATTTGATTTTCTCTCTTTAACATTTTTTTTTTCAGTCAACAATTTTGCCCTTTTTCATTTGGGTTGTCGGTTGAATCATTTTTATCGTATATTTGTGGAAAGAAAACGAAATTTTGATTAATTCAGATCCACATTAGTTACATTTTTTTATTTTTTTAT